CTCCTCCTCCTCCATCTCGCAGACATGACCGCGTCGTTAAAAAAACTCACCCCAGTGCGACCATACCTAGACGTTTGAGTCCCTAGGAAAGTAGCAATCGTTGCTATGATATCCCATGATACGCTATGCCATGCTATGCTGCGCTATGCTATGATATGATATGATATGACATGTTATGCTATGACATGCTGCGTTATGATATGTTATGATATGATATGATATGCTATGATATGATATGATACGTTATGATATGCCATGCTGCGTTGTGTTATGCTAAGCTATGCTATGATATGCTAAGCTGCGCTATGATATGCTATGATATGCGATGCTATGTTATGCTATGATATGCTGCGCTGTGCTATGTTATGCTACGATATGATATGCTATGCTATGCTATGATTGGCTATGTTATGCTATGCTATGTTATGATAATGCAGCGCTGCGCTATGCTAAGCTAAGCTAACCCCCTAGGCAGAGCCTAGGTAGGGAATTACACCCATGCTAATATGCTATGCTGCGCTATGCTATGCTACGCTATGCTATGCTCTGCTGTGCTCTGCTATGCTAAACCTCAGCGAAGCTAAGATGAAGGTAAGCTAAGCTAAACAACCTGAGCTAAGATGAAGCTAAGCTAAGCTAAGATGAAGTAAGCTAAGCTAAGATGAGATAAGCAACGCTAAGCTAAGGGGACGTAACTGGGGGAACCGTGGGGCGAATGTAGGGGGGAACCGCCCGGGGCGAGCCCCACTGCCTGGCCCCTTTAAGCAAACAGAGTAAGAACCCTCTAGGCAGAGCCTAGGTAGGGAAAAAAACAAGACGACGGTTTTTCGCTATTTTCGGCCCCTGGGGGCCCTCGCCGGTCCCCGGGACCGTCAAAAAACGACTCGGGATGAAAAGCCGGTCCTGGGGAAAGAATCTTGACTTCTGGGAACGCCGTCCTGAAAAAATCAGGACGTCGCATGTCTGGGCTAGGGACTTGCGAATCGGTGCTTCGTTCGTTTGCTGCCGCTGGCGCCTCCTAAACGTTGGCCGCTACTCCTGACATGGACCCTCGCTCTCGACGCACGTGCACATGCCACACCTGCCACACCTGCCACACCTTGCCTAGACCGGCGCTAACCAAAATGACGAAGTCAGCACAGTCGCAGTCGCGTGCATGCTTTCAAACATGCACGATGGTAACACGCACGCCGCATCTCCGCTGCGAAATCTTCCTCATTATCCTCTCAATCATCTTACGAAAACATGAGAAAGTCAAGCTGCCACCGTTGTCGTGGTTGTCGTCGAGCTGGTCGAGCTGGTAAGACAAAAAGGGAAGCCGCAAAGACAAGTGCGATAATAGGCGCACGCCTAAAGGGTAGCGGCAACATATTATAACAAGAGGCCAAGAGCATACTCATAACATCTATGCAGCATGGAGAACAGAGGCCGATTGGAAAACACTGTGGGTTTCCTGCTGCGTTGGCACGACGGCGGGGCGACCTGCAGACAGGGCAGACAGACCGAATGACGGACATGCGGACGCGCACGCACACAAACACGCGCGCGCTTGCTTCTACCAGGGGGGAGGGTGAGGGGGAGGGGGGAGGGGGAGAGAGGGAGGAGGAGGAAGAGGATGGAGGAAGGAGGAGAGGAGGAGGAGGAGGAGGAGGAGGAGGAGGAGGAGGAGGAGGAGGGGAGGAGAGGAGGAGGAGGAGGAGGGAGAGGAGGAGGAGGAGGAGGAGGAGGAGGTGGGGAGGGGAGGAGGAGGAGGAGGAGGAGGAGGAGGAGGAGGAGGTGGAGGAGGAGGAGGAGGAGGAGGAGGAGAGGAGGGAGGTGGGAGGAGGAGGAGGAGGAGGAGGAGGAGGAGGTAGGAGGAGGAGGGGAGGAGGTGGAAGTAGCAGGATGTATGAGGATGAGGGGAGGAGGGGACGAGGAGGGAGGGAGGGAGGGGGGCGGAGGAGGATCAGGAAGAGGAGGAGGAGGAGGAGGAGGATCAGGAAGAGGAGGAAAACGAGGAGGAGTGTCCTTCCAGCGAGGAGCACCCAGGAATCAAGAGGCGCCATCCTCGGGCCAGGGACACAGCGGGGGGTATTTGGCGCGGTCCTGTCTGCGGGAAACGCAGAGCCAATATTTAAAATGCCGACAGCGCGTAACGAATAGAGGGTGCGTGTGCAGGAAGGACGGGGCCAAGAATTCACGAAAAAACCTTTTGGGGACCTGGTCTAAATTCGGGCCAGCTTCGCCAGGAACCAGCCCCCTTTGTTTCATCGCGTGGGCACCTTACTTCAATTGAGGTCTCCACCGGCGACGGCCAATACAAAGAAGATATGACCTTGCACAGATCACCCCCCCTCCTTTCAAAATGTGGTTCTCGCCTTAGCGCCGCGCACATTCGCCTCGGTTTCTTTGCCACGGCCCCGCGGCGCCGTGGCAAAGAAACCGAGGTTCGGCAGCGCCATACCCCATGATTTTTGTCACGTCCTCCCCCCGTGCCTGGGAGGGGCCCCGCGGCGCCGTGACAAAACAATATGTGTTCGGCAGCGCCAGACCCCTTGTCACGGCACCCCCCGTGCCTTGGTGGGGCCCCACGGCGCCGTGACAAAACAATCTGGGTTCGGCAGCGCCAGACCCCAGGATTTCTGTCACGGCCGCCCCCTTGCCTTGGAGGGGGCCCGCGGCGCCGTGACAAAAAACCTGGAGCGCCAAACCCCAAGATTATTGTCACGGTACCCCCCCTGCCTTGGAGGGGCCCCGCGGCTCCGTGACAGAAAAAGCTCGGGTTCGGCAGCGCCAGACCTTGGGATGTGTGTCACGGCACCCCCTTGCATTGGAAGGGCACCGCGGCGCCGTGACAAAAAAGCTGGGGTTCGGCAGCGCCAAACCCCAGGATTTTCGTCAAAGCACTCCCTCCCAGCCTTGGAAGGGCCCCGCGGCGCCGTGACCCAAAAAACTGCGGCTCGGCAGCGCTAAACACCAGGATTTTCGTCAAGCCCCCCCCCCCAGCCTTGGAAGAGCCCCGCGGCGCCGTGACAAAAAACTAGGGCTCGGCAGCGCCATTGTACAGGCTTTTTTTGTCAGGGCCCCCCCCCTCTGCCCTGGAGGGCTCCGCGGCGCCGTGACAAAACAATCTGGGACTCGGCAGCGCCAAACCCCACGATTGTTGTCACTGCACCCCCTGCTTTGGAGGGGGCCCGCGGCGCCGTGACCAAAAAAGCTGCGGTTCGGCAGCGCCAAACCCCACGATTTGTGTCACGCCCCCCCCTGCCTTGGAGGGGCACCGCGGCGCCGTGACAAAAAACTGGGGTTCGGCAGCGCCATAACACAGGCTTTTTGTCAGGGCACCCCCTCGTGTCTTGGAGGGGCCCCGCGGCGCCGTGACAAAAAAGCTGGAGTTCGGCAGCGCCAAACCCCACGATTTTTGTCATGGCACCCCCCCTGCCTTGCAGGGGCCCCGCGGCGCCGTGAGCAAAAAAGCTGCGGTTCGGCAGCGCCAAACCCTGGGATTTGTGTCTTGTGTCACGGCACCCCCTCCTGTCTTGGAGGGGCCCCGCGGCGCCTTGACAAAAAAGCTGGGGTTCGGCAGCGCCAAGCCCCAAGGTTTTTGTCACGGCCCCCCCCCGTGCCTTGGAGGGGCCCCACGGCTCCGTGACAAAAAAGCTGGGGCTCGGCAGCGCCAAACCGCAAGGTTTTTGTCGCAGCATCCCCCGTGTCTTGGAGGGGCCCCGCGGCGCCGTGACAAAAAAGCTGGGGTTCGGCAGCGCGAAAGCCAATGATATGTGTCACGGCACCCCTCCATGTCTTGGAGGGCCCCCGCGGCACCGTGGCAAAAAAACCGAGGTTCGGCAGCGCCCAGAGCGACCCGCGACTCTCGGGCGGCACCCGCCGCGGCGACCCGCCCACACCCGGCGCCCCAGCCCGAATATGGCGTCTCTTGATTCCTGAACGAAGCTCGCCACATCCTCCTCCTCCTCCTCATCATCATCCTGCTCCCGCCCTCTCCTCCTCCTCCTCCTCCTCCTCCTCCTCCTCATCCTCCTTCCTGAACGAAGCTCGACACAGGGACCCACCAACCCTCATGGCTCTTGGCACGGAGATGGCGTCCCTTGATTCCTGTGTGCCGCCGCTCGCTCAAAGGGGCCCGCCCACCCCCGGGACCGCAGCCCGAAGAGAGCGTTTCTTGATTCCTGGGCGCCGTTCGCCGTCAGGGTCCACCTTCTTGACATGCCGATTGCAAAGCAAGCGATTCGTAATTCTTGGCCCGTTGGCTGAATAAGCACAGGTCACCCTAAGATGCCCCCCCGCCTGTTTTGAAAAGGAACCGCCCCAGCCCGACGGCCTTCCCGCGCGCGTTGCCTGGGCACTCGCTGAGAGTACCAAGGAGTCCACAGCTGCAGACAGCGCGCCGCACACTTGTTATACTTCGCGTCCGGCTGAGCCAACTCAGCGAGGGCATTCGCGGGTTGCGCACAGCTGGCTGCCACCGAGCGAAAACCGATGGGGGGCAACAAGAAGAGGGTTGGTCGACAGCGCGCCGCACACACACACACAAACACACACACACACACACACACGCACACACACACACACACACGCACGCACGCACGCACGCACGCACGCACGCACGCACGCACGCACGCACGCACACACACACACACACAACACACACACACACGCACACACACACACCACACACAGTCACGCACACACACACACCACACACACACACACGCACACACACACGCACACACACACACACGCACACACACACACACACACAACACACCGCCAGACACGCGCGCGCGCAACACACACACACACACACACAAACACACACACCACACACACACACACACACACACACACCACACACACACACACACACACACACACACGCACGCACGCACGCACGCACGCACGCACGCACACACACACACACACCACCCACAGTCACGCACACACACCACACACACACACACACGCACACACACACACACACACACACACACACACACACACACACACACACACGCGCAGACACACACGCGCACACACACACACACTTTTAGCGTCGCGGCCCCGCGCGCAGCGCCAAGGCGTAGCAAGGTCAGAGAAGAGGGCGCGCGCGCGCGTCCAAAGGCCGAGCCCTCAAGCCGCTCAGAGCAAGCAGCGCCGCGGCCAGCCACAAGCCATCCCAGCATGGATTGCGGGGGTGTCTGACGACGCAGGCAGGCCGATCGTCACAGAAACGACATGACCGAGAGGGCAAGGAAGGCGCAGTGGAAACTACAGTGGAGGCCTGTCCACAAGAAACCTTCCACAAGAAACCCAACCCTGAGACCCCAGGACGTCCAGTATTTTTGGGTGTGGGAACGTCGCTCTTTCCATCGCAAAACCATCAAAACCCAAGAAACCCAGGGCATCCTGGAGGCAAGCAGGGTGTTTCTTGGCATGGGCCTCCAGCCAGGCCAGGTGACTGTCGGCAGCGAAGACGTGGACGACGACCACCCCGTCACGATGATGATCCCGCGCAGCAGAAGAGCGATCGCCCGTCCTTGTCGCGCACGCCGAAGCACGGCAAGCCTGCGCACGCCAGCGAGTCTCGCGAGCACTGGCCCCGCGGTGAGCTGCGCGGGCACGGGGGGCAGCTCACGCTCCAGGAGGCGGCGACACTCGCTCGCGCACTGGACGCAGGGATGGCTTTGGCCGAGCACCTTCTGCTCGCGGGGATGCCGCCGCAGTCCCGCCCTGGCTCCTGCATGCGTGGCACCGGCGTCTCGCCATCGCTCGGACGTCCACTCCCCGAGCACTCGTCGATTCCGTGCGTGCTTTGTCCTGCTGCCCGACGATCCTCGATGCTCCTCGACGGCCCTCGCCGCAACAGGAAGAACAGCCTCCGAGCGACGCCGCGGCGCGGACGCCCGAGGGCAGGCTCCCGAGAGGGGAGGCCCGCCGGGAGCTCCGCGCCACAGCGGCGAGGTGCCCGAGGAAGTCCCGTGGGCAGCCGCCGCGCAGAGACGCCGTCGAGGAGCGGACCGAAAGCACGCCCCCAGGCAGAGGGGAGCAAAAACGAAGGGGGCAAAGGCCGACACAACCATAACAACGCGTAGGTCCGCGCGGGCTCCTCGGATCGGCGCTGGGGCCCCCTGGCGGCGCCTCCGGCGCCGCCCCTGGCGCGCTCCGCGCGCCAGGGACACTCGAACAGGCCAACACCATCACCATCGGCATCACCAACGTCATCCTCACACACAACTACGCAGGCGCACGCCCTTCACCATCACAACCACAATCAATGTGCATGCAATGATGTACCACATCACTTCCATTTGGAGCCAAAGGCAGCTGGATATTTTGATCAGCGGACCGGCAACGCCAGCTAACTAGTCAACACTCATTCTCATTCACAAACAAGACGGAAAGTCAGAGACATCGAGAGAGGAATAGAGAGAGAGAGAGACAAGCATAGGGACATAATGAATACTGGCAAGCAGACAAACGATAGATCGATAGAGTAAGAGAGAAAGAGAGAAAGAGACTAAAGAGAGGTGGAGAGAGTGAGAGAGGGAGGAAACAGAAAGCAAGCACTGATCGACACGGACAGACACAGCAGGACGACAGACACGGGCAGAGAGGCAGATGCGCAGACGCACAGGCAAGCAGACTGACAAGAACAATGGAACAGGAGGGTCCCCAAGTAGAAAAGGTGGCACCCATCCTGATGACCGTGGTCGTGGTCGAGGTCGTTGTGGTCGTGGTCGTACTCGTGCTGCTAGTTGTGACAGTTGTGGTAGTGGTGGTGGTAGTCGCTGTAGTTGTTGTTGTTGTAGTCGTGGTCGCGGTGGTCGTCGTGGATGTTGTGCTAGTTGAAGTCACAGTCGTGGTGGTCGTGGTGGTCGTCGTCGTGGTGGTAGTTGACGTAGGTGTTGTTGTTGTCGTGGTGGATGTTGTCTCGGTAGTGGTCGTCGTGGTGGTGGTGGTGGTCGTGGTCGTGGTCGTTGTCGTGGTGGATGTTGTCTCCGTAGTGGTCGTCGTAGTGGTCGTCGTCGTGCTGGTACTGGTAGTAGTTGTCGTCGTCGTTGTCGTGGTGGAAGTAGTCTCAGTAGTTGTCGTCGTGGTGGTCGTCGTCGTGCTGGTACTGGTAGTAGTGGTCGTCGTTGTCGTTGTCGTTGTCGTGGTGGATGTAGTCTCAGTAGTGGTCGTCGTGGTGGTCGTCGTCGTGCTGGTACTGGTAGTAGTTGTCGTTGTCGTTGTCGTGGTGGATGTCGCTGTAGTGGTCGTCGTGGTGGTGGTGCTGGAGCTGCTCGTTGTCAGCGTCGTAGTCGTGACTGTCGTTGTTGTCACGGTGGTTGTGGTGATGGTCGTCGTGGTCACCTCGCAGGCCGGGCGCCCCCCCCCCCCCGAGGGTGGTCGACAGGGGAGGGACTGGCCCAGGGACCTTTTCGCGTCGCGAGGAGATCGCGGCCGACGGCTTCCGGCCCTTTTCGGCCCCTCGCGTCGGCTGCTCGTGCGGGCGACCCTGGGCATAAAGAGTGACCTTCGGTGCGCGGCTCCTCGGGGGGCCGCGGGGCGGCCGAACGCGAGCGCGCCAGACGCCACCGTCGCTGCGCTGTCGACGGTCGAGGGGCCCCAGGGGGGCCCGCACCAGAGGTCACTCTGGCGAGGGGTCCTCTCTGACGTGTGGTCGACCCGGGGGCCGCTGCTGGTCGACTCGGGACGAGGGGCCGGTCCCAGGGAAGTGCTCCAGACCTCGCGGGGGGGGTCGACGCTGCGAGCAGAAGTCGGCACGTCCGAGGTCTGGGGGGCGGAGGGGCACGGGGGAGAGCAAGGGCCCCCATGGCTGCCAACAGGTCGGCGATACGTTGGCTCTCGACAGCGAAGCCGCGCCTTCCTGCCAGAGGGGCGGGCGGGGGGGTGTCCATGCCCCGATCGGGGATGAGCGAGCGATCGCGGGTCGATGCTCCCCCCCCCCTGGGCAAGTCCTCGGGGAGCAAACAATCACATGCACACGCAAGCTCGGAGGCCCGCACGGACTTGTCGGATCGGCGCTGGACCGCCCTCCCTGGCGCGCGGAGCGCGTCAGGGGCGGCGCCGGAGGCGGCGCCACGGGGTCCCTAAGCCGATCCGAGGAATCTGCGCGGACCTCCGAGCTCGTATGTGCATGTCTTTGCTTCTTCCCCATAACATCCCCCTTGCTGTCGGCATCCGTGCGCCGCCGCCTTCGCCTGACCCCCCCCCGCTCGCCGTAGTGGTGGTTATGGTAGTGGTCGTGGTGCTGGTGACGAACCTGGCTGTGCCGAGTTTTGCGCTCGGGCCCTCACTTGCAGCCTCAACCTCGGCCCTCGAATCTCGGTCTCTGCCGCCCCCCCTCCCCTCCTCCTCCTCCTCCTCCTCCTCCTCCTCCTCCTCCTCCTCCTCCTCCTCCTCCTCCTCCTCCTCCTCCTCCTCCTCCTCCATTCCTTTTCCTTATAAATTCGGCAGCCCAACGGGCCAGAGGCGTGCTAAGATCTCCAGTAACTGGTTCATAGTCCTCTAGTTCGCGCGCGCGGAGCGGTGGCTCCTGGGGGCCCCCGGACGAGAAGTACCCCGAGCAGGTCCAGGCCAAGTGGGTCCCAGAGATGGTTTTCCTCCTCGGCGCTGCCTTCCAGGCTTTCCAGGGCGCCCCAGGAACGCCCCAAGAGAGCCCCGAGACGCGCCCGAAACCGTCCGAAAGGCCCTGGGTCGCCGCAAGATCGCTCCAAGACGCCCAAGATGGCCTCCTGACGGCCCAAGCCGCCGCCAAGAAGCCCCAAGATAGCCTCAAGAGGCCGTCCAAGAGAGTCTCAACAACCCAAAATAGCACCATTTCCTTACGAACAAATATGCTTTCCGCATTTGCGACTCTTGGGGGTTCAGAGCGTCCAATACTACCCAAGAGACCTCCGAGATCGCCCCAAGACGGCCCAACAGGCCCCCAAAATGGGCCGAACACGGCCGAAGAGGGCCCCAAGACCGCTCAAGAGGCGCCCAGGACAGCCCAAGACGGCCCCAAGAGGGGACCAGGAGGCGCCCAAAACGACCCAAGGGGCCCCCAAGACGGCCCAAGAGGCGCCCAAGAGGGGGAACGCGATGCGAACATCCGAGGTTTCAGCCCGAAAAAAAAAACCAAGAGGCCCCAAGAGGCCCCCAAGAGGACCCCGTGAGGCCCCCAAGAGGCCCAAAAACTGCGCTCCAGACGCTCCCGAGAAGCCCCCCACAACACCCCATCAGCCATCCGAGTGGCTTCAGACCCACACAGCCACGCAGCCCCACGAAGCCTCCCACAAAAGCTTCTTGACGATGACCTTCATCGACTCCAATCGTGCCACGACACGCCATCCAGAGACTCCTCCTCCCCTCCCCCTCCCCCTCCCCCTCCTCCTCCTCCTCCTCCTCCTCCTCCTCCTCCTCCTCCTCCTCCTCCTCCTCCTCCTCCTCGTCTTCCTCCTCCGAGAAGAGGCCGTCCTGGGCTGTCCTGGAGAAGACGGAGAACGTAAGAAGTGACGAGCCTCAGGAAGTAGACAGCGCACACCAGGACAAGAAAAAGCCAATGATCGCATTCAAAGCCCGCCACCCTCGGAGACGAGGGTTCCATCATCGCATCAGATGTCCCCTCCCCCCATCGACGAACCCCAGAGTGAGCATCCACGCCCAGCACACCCCCACGAAGGCATTTCGAACTTTCCGCCTTGAAGTACAACTCCGAGACCACCAACAAACCCCCAAGAAACCCCCGAGAGGCCCCAAGAACCCCTCAAATGCCCAAACATAACCCCCCAGGGCCCCCAAACGGCCCCCAAGAGACCACAAGAGGCCTCAAAACTGCCTCCAAAAGACTCCCGAAACGACTGCCAAGAGACCCCAGCAGCGCCGCATTGACAACGATCCCTCGGGCAAACGGCAGGGATGAGGCTACATGGGCCAGCAGAATGAGCGAAGCGATTAAATAACTTCTCCCTGTCGAACTCCGAGGCAAGTTTTTTAGGGCGGGCCGGGCGTTTCGCCTCAGACTTCCTCACCATTTATGACTCTACAGCTTAGAGATTGGCAACAGTTTCGCAGATGGAGGGCGGGTGGGGCTCTCGCCCTAGCGCCGCGCACATTAGTTCTGACAAATTCCAGGAGCTCAACGGATTGAGGGCGACGCGTTTTCAATTATCCCGGCAAAGCAACCTAACAGCGATGTGTAGGAGCATATCTGGAAGCATTCCCCTTAAGATTCAGATGAGAATCCAGTTGTAGAATTCTGCTGTTCTCGCAGTCGTAGTCGCATTCGCGATGACAGTCGCAGTGGCAACGGCAGTCACAGTCACAGCCTCAGCCTTAGCCTGCCTCAGCCTCAGCCTCAGCCTGCCTCAGCCTCAGCCTGCCTCAGCCTCAGCCTCAGCCTGCTTCAGCCTCAGCCTCAGTCTGCCTTCAGCCTCGGCGTCAGCCTCAGCCTGCCTCAGCCTCAGCCTGCATCAGCCTCAGCCTCAGCCTCAGCCTGCCTCAGCATCAGCCTGCCTCAGCCTCAGCCTCAGCCTGCCTCAGCCTCAGCCTCAGCCTGCTTCAGCCTCAGCCTCAGTCTGCCTTCAGCCTCGGCCTCAGCCTCAGCCTGCCTCATCCTCAGCCT